TAAACTTCATTTTAAATAGAAAAGAAGGCTAATAACTGCAAAAAGGTCCAATTCTTTAGAAAATAACACCCCTTTCACCAGACTGGCTACAGGCCTGCAGTGGCAAGGAACAAAACTTCACCGATTGACGAAAGTGAAAGAAGAAAAACCTCCAGAGAAACCAGGCTCTAGGATGTAAATCACAAGAACGGACTGAGTATCCTACTTTTAGGCCTGTAGAAATATAGCACTGTAAAAGTGAAGTACAATTCCTGAGGGCAAAAAACCTAAATAACAGCAATTTTTGCATATTTGTAATTCATTACTTTACACCACTGCAAATGGCCAACCTGTTTTTCTTTTTATTGAAGAAAAACTGCTTCAAACATCATAACATTCAACTTTAAAATAATATGTTTGACACCCAAATATAAGCTATAATGATTGACACACACACAGGCCTCCACCTAAAACTGACAGGAGCATGTTGCATAATAGTATGTGTGGGCTACACAGTACGTGATTTCAACAAGCTCTCATCTGGAATAGTGAAACAGCCTAAAGCAAATAACACTCTCTAATGAAATAACGTAAGCACGCATAGCTCGATAGATGAAAAAGGTGTGTTCACATTCTAAACAATGTAAAAACTGAATGCCCACTGAACTTCTGTGATTGGCTAAGTAAACGTGCAAGTATTTCAGTATTTCCTGCATGCGAAACCAGTTCGGCTGGTTGTAACTATAAAAATATCCGACGTAAAGCAAAGCAGTTGCTGTCAGCTTGAGAGAAGGACATTAATCACCGGTTTCACACCTGGTAGGTTTTCTTTGTAACTAATTTATGGAAATTGTATGCTATAGAATCCAATGTTTTTCAATCAAATGTATACACAACACTTATATGTTATGTAATCTGATGTATCTGAATCAAATGTAAACCTAACACTTATACACACTTATATTGCATGCAATGGAATCTTATCTGAGTCAAATGTATACACTTAACACTTATGTACACTTATAACATATGCTATGGAATCTAACGCACCTGAATCAAATGCATAGACTTACACTTACTGTACATACACATGTTGTATGCTATGGAATCTAATGTATCTGAATCTAACTTTTGTTATATGATTAACATTTGTTTGCTGTAGCATTCTAAACCTTATATTTTTGCATTTTACTTTAAATTCGTTAACGTTTATTCTACACAATGTTATATAAATCCAAATTGTAGCTAAAACTGTACTTAAAATTAAAATATAAATGAAAACAGTTTAATTTTGCAATATTCTACTTCAAATTCGTCAACATTTAATCTATAGAATATTATATAAATCAAAATTGTCCTTCAAATTTGTCAACAGTTGATGTTGTATAATTCAAAATTGTTGCTAAAATTGTAGTTAAATTAGAATATGAATGACAAAAGTTTTAATTTGCAATATTTTACTTCAAAATCATCAACACTTGATCTATACAATGTTATATAGTTCAAATCGGTAGCTAAAACTGTAGCTAAAATTAGAATATGATGGAAAAAATTATTGATTTGCAGTATTTTACTACAAATTTAACAACATTTGATCTATACAATGTTATATAGTTCAAAACGGTTGCTAAAATTGTAGTTAAAACTAGAATATGAATGAAAAAAAAATTTTATTTGAAATATTTTATTCAAATTTGTCCACATTTGATCTATACAATGTAATATAGTTCAAAACTGTAGCTAAAATTGTAGTTAAAATTAGAATATAATTGGAAAAAGTATTAATTTGCAATATTTTACTTCAAATTCGTCAACATTTGATCTATACAATGTTATATAATTAAAAATAGCAGCTTAAAATGTAGTTAAAATTAGAATATGAATTACAAAGTTTTAATTTGCAATATTTTACTTCAAATTCATCAGCACTTGATCTATACAATGTTATGTAGTTCAAATTGGTAGCTAAAATTGTAGTTCAAATTAGAAAATGATGGAAAAAATTATTGATTTGCAATATTTTAATACAAGTTTATCAACATTTGATCTATACAATGTTATATAATCCAAAATTGTAGCTTAAACTGTATAGTTAAAACTAGAATATGAATGAAAAAAGTTTTAATTTGCAGTATTTACTTCAAATTCGTCCCCATTTGATCTGTACAATGTTATATAGTTCAAAACGGTAGCTAAAATTGTGGTTAAAATTAGAATATGATGGAAAAAAGTATTAATTTGCAATATTTTACTTCAAATTCATCCACATTTGATCTATACAATGTTATATAATCCAAAACTGTAGCTAAAATTGTAGTTAAAATTAAAATATGAATGACAAAAGTATTAATTTGCAAAAGCAGTTCATATTGGACCATGCATTTGTAAATTATTTGTAGGTAAACTTGCTTTGTCAAGTTAAACCATAAAACCATTATTTTGATTCATTTGTTACTCGCTGCTGTCAGAACAAAGTCTCAGAAGCACGTTTGTCCAGTTGAGCAGCTCTTGTCATCTCTTTAGAGTATGTCATGCAACGTCAGTAGGTGGACCCAACCTTAATAACAGTCAAATGATCAGTGTATTAATCACGTTTGACTTTCCTTTTCCTTCTTTTTCTCAGAACACAGAGTACACGTTTTAATCATGCAGCACTGGCCGCTCTGTATACTTCTACTATGCCTTGTCTTCTGTGATGTCTCCACTCAAAGGAAAAAAAAGACAGTCCAAACTCTCTCAAGAGGTATCAGCAAATTCGCAAATAGCCCCAAAGATGTTTAATTTGACCTAAAATATAGCAAACTGATCATTGAATGACTTAAACACACAAAAAATGGCTTGTTTTAGGTTGGGGCGATGACATTTCTTGGGCTCAGACGTATGAGGAGGGACTGGCTAAAGCAGCCAAAAGGTATTTAAAGATGAATCACTTTATTGCTAAATTTGAACTGTTTGTAATGTATATTTAGATTTTAATATCACACTGTATCTGTTTAATCACAGTAAGAAGCCTCTGATGATCATTCATCATTTGGAGGATTGTCCGCACAGTATTGGTTTGTATTAATTCATTCATCATTCATTCATTCATTCATCATTCATTCATTCATTCATTCATCATTCATTCATTCATTCATTCAGCCAGTCAATCCCATTCTAAATCAAATAGAATTGGTCTGCAATGATATAAAAAATACATTTCTTTGTGCTGTAAACATATTTTTTGAAACAAAAATAAGACAATATATGTTTTAATGTAGGTTTTGATATAGGTTTTTAATATATGTGACATTTATACAATTGGCCGTTTTCCCATATTATATGTACATATATCAAAACCTACATTAAAACATATATGTTCATATAAGTTCTTATTTGCCATTGTTAAATTCAATAACATGCCAATTACATGTGATAGCAATTTCAAGTGTTCGCACATACAGTACATAAGTTTTTTGGATTTTTTTTTATTGCCTTAATAATAGAAAATATGAGCTAGGCATCTTGTATGACAGTTGCCAAAGTTGAATAAGAGCTATACTGGAGACATATTTTGTATGGACATATAGGGCTTATATGTGGAAATAAAGAAGCAAAACAGGAAGCCTATATGGCCTGTATATGCACATATGTGCACCTCAATTTTGCCTATATGTGGCATATATACGCATATACAGTTGAAGTCAGAATTTTTAGCCCCCCTGTTTATTTTTTTCACAATTTCTGTTAAACAGAGAGGATTTTTTTTTAAACACATTTCTAAACATAATAATTTTAATAACTCATTTGTAATAACTGATTTATTTTATCTTTCCCATGATGACAGTACATAATATTTTATTAGACATTTCTCAAGACACTTCTATACAGCTTAAAGTGACATTTAAAGGCTTAACTAGGTTAATTTGGTTAACTAGGCAGGTTAGGGTAATTAGACACGTTATTGTGTAACAATGGTTTGTTCTGTAGATTTCTAAAAAAAATACAGCTTAAAGGGGCTAATAATTATGACTTTAAAATGGTTTTTAAAAACTAAAACTGCTTTTATTGTAACCGAAATAAAACAAATGAGACTTTCTCCAGAAAAAAAAAAATATTATCAGACATACTGTGAAAATTTCCTTGCTCTGTTAAACATCATCTGGGAAATAATAAAAAAAAAAGAAAAAAAAAAAGCAAAGGGCTAATAATTCTGACTTTAACTGTATGCAGTGTATATATTATCATATATGTGCATATATACTGCATATAGGTTTCACATATAGATGTTAGTATCTGTATTGTTCACTTTTAAGATATCCATGAGCTAGTGTGCTCCAAAACAGTGACAAAATTCACGTTTAGAGGATATAAAATTGATATCAACATGTAAAGCTTGTAGTTTGTCACTTCCGCCTAAATGGATCAACAGTTTTATTCACGTCATCTCATACTTCAGTTCCTCAAAAACATAACCAATCTAATTCCCTCTATAGTATCCAACATGTCCTGTCCCTTCAAAGGCTTCTTATGTGTTGTTCATTTGATGCGCTTGAGCTCAACCACTCTCTTTGGCAGAGTGGTGATAAAACAAAACACTATTGGCTGTTTTTTAAAATGAGGAGGAGCTACACTAGGTCCCACCCTTTCTTTGTTTTTCAGTTGAGAGAACATTAAACATGGAATAAAAATGCACATTTCAAAGCACTTCACGGGCCCTTAAATCATGGTTTCCAATGTTTAGAGGGATAGTTTTCAAAAAATGAACATTATGTCATAATTTACTCACCTTTTACTTGTTTTAAACCCTAATCAGTTTATTTCTTTTGTGAAGCGCAAAAGAAGATATTTTGAAAAATGCTGGAAACCTGTAACCACTGACTTGTGCAGTATTTGTTTTTCCTTCTATGCAAGTCAGTGGGTAAAAGTTTACCTTCTTTAGTGTTCAAACTAGTGAGGGTGAGTATATTGTGGTAACATTTTTATTATTGGGTGAACTATCTCTTTAAGGTGCCACCAAAACCTCAATTACTCCAAAAGTTAAAACTGTGATGTATATTGTGACAAATTAATATTGTACGTGCAATATATTATTTTAAAATGGTTTCATTTTTTGTCATATTATATATCAATATGTCAAAATATTATTATTTCATTTATTTAGTGAGCAAACTTTTGTTAACGCTACTTAAAGCAGGTAGACTCTACTTAAATTCATTGTATTTATTTGTTCGAAACCCTAGTTTGAAAGCACCTGCTTTAAGTAGAGTTAACAAAAGTTCGTTTTTTTTATTTATTTAGTGAGCAAACTTTTGTTAACTCTACTTAAAGCAGGGGCTTTCAAACTAGGGTTTCGAACAAATAAATACAATGAAATAAAATGATTATAATTTATTCAAAACTTTTTAAAAACCTGAATGAATATTGGAGTTACCTTTGCACGCTGGAGAAAGGATGACACCATAGCTGAAGGATTTCTCTTAGACAGTTAATGTTTTGTTTTAAAACTATTTTAACTTCACGCAAAGCTGATGTAACGTTGGATGTTGTTATTACAAATGGGTTATATCTTCACAGAAGTGTTGTTCAGCCACTAAAATCTTACCGTGAAAGATATATAAGACTATTTTCAGTTTCAGATTGTTAGGTTGGGGTTAGGGTTAGCGCAAGTTGACATGTACTTGCAGAGTTTCTTCTAGTCAGTTAAATGTCTGTTGAAGGAGCAATATCAACAGATTACAAGCAGACTGTCAAAACTGTTAAAATAAAGCACCCAGAGTGAACACCTTCATGAACACGGGGAGAACATGCAAACTCCACACAGTAATGTCAACTGACTCAGCTGGGGCGCAAACCAGCAACCTTCTTGCTGTGAGGCAACAGTGCTAACCACTGAGCCACTGTGCCACACCATCTGCTAATTTGTGTACTTCAAGTGCTAAAATCTACTTTAAAAGTGCTAAAATATGGGTTTAATAAGGTACGAAAGTGTAGCTTTTGCGTTTTCATTCCTGAGAGTAAAGAGTAACGTGTCTGTATTATATAGAAAGTTCTGTTGCACTTCAATTGATTTATTTCCTCCAATACTCTATTTGTAGCTCTGAAAAAGGCATTTTCTGAACATCAGTCAATTCAACGGATGGCCAAATCAGAATTCATCATGCTCAATTTAGTGGTAAAGTAGAACTATTGTCATACTTTCAGCAGACTTTAACAAGAAATATGTGTCTAAAACAGCACAGATATTCACAAGAGTTTTGTGATTGTGAATTTCAGCATGAGACCACCGATACCCACTTGGCCCCAGATGGCTTCTACGTTCCCAGGATCATGTTTGTTGGTAAGTTTTTACGCTTTTGATTAAATACTACATTTTTATAATTGATCTGGTTACAAATACCTAAGTCTCTGGTACGGAGGATTTATTTATTTAAGTTTAATGCCATATCAGGAGCTTTGGCTATATTCATGACAAAACTAAATATACAAGATATACCATGCAATCATATCAGTACATATCAGTACAAACATACAAATAACAAAAACACAGAAGAGTCAAATACAATCTTTTAGTTTAATAATGATAAATATTCTAAAATTTCCCGTAAAATATTTCCTGAATAAAAACATTTTCTTAAATCATTTAAAAATACACATTCTATTAAAATATGTTTTATTGTCAGCATTTTCTTACACAAGTCACAAATAGGTTTTTCTTCCTTTATCAATACATATGAGTGTGTAAGTCTTGAGCATAGATATATACACTAGATATCGCATATAGGGACCATGAGCATGCGTCAATAGCGCCGCCACATTGCTACAGTGCTCCCAGGACAAATGTCATTCAACCGCACTAGTCAAGACAGTGTTATTACGTGAAGATGCGGGACTTAGCGCTGTATACAGGTGTAGAAACGAGCAAACAAAGAAATCAAAGCACAAAGGCAGAACATTTCATAGGTAAGATTAAGTTTGTTTTCTGTTTTTGTATGTTCTGAACTTTTGTGCTAATCAGGTAACGTTATTGATGATAACAGTCACTTACTGCATTCACCATAAGGCAAAGCAGCTCCAACTCGCACTAAATACTCGGCTTATGCTAGTTTTGTTGAATAAAATCAGCAAACAATGCAAAAGAAATATGACAACGAGATACTGCGCTGCCAGAAACTTGTATTATTATCGGCTAACGTTAGTGAAAGAGTCATTCGAGGGATTCATTCACAAACGAGTCGCTCCCTCCGTCAGTATGAGAAGTGAAAGCAGGAGAGGAGCTGTGTTTCAGGACATGATTAGATCAAATTTCACAGGGAGGGTGAATAGTAAATTTTTGTACACACAAACACAAGCTTTTTGTCAGGAATGCCCGTGCGGTCACTGATCCGTCAATGTAGAAAAGTGATGTAAAATTATAATTTTCGTAATTAGAAAAAAAAATTACATACTAACATCCAGGAAAACTCCCAATCATAGATATATGTGTATATGTGTATATCTCTGGCTTTGGATGGCCACAGTCCTCCACTGTACCTTGGTCCCGCATTCATTTTAAAGGAGCGCTACCCTGTAGCAAGATGGCGGCGCTATTGACGCATTCCGTCCAATAGACAACAATAGGCCAGGCGACATCTAGTGTATATATCTATGAGTCTTGAGTAGCCGATTCTTCTATGTACAATCTGATTATGTTTATTTTCAAAATGGTAATTATTTCTTTCATTTACAAATTCAAATCAATAAATTTTTTATTTCTGAAGCGCTTTTCCAATGGAGATTGTGTAAAAGCAGCTTCACATAGAAGATTATATTGAGTTGAAACAGTGTCAGTTCAGTTGTCAGAGTTTAAGTTCAGTTCAGTTTAGTTCAAAGTGGTTTAATAATCACTGCTGAGAGTCCAAACACTGAGTAGCAAATCCATCGATGCGCAGCTCTATAAGTCCCGAACTATGCAAGCCAGTGGCGACAGCGGTGAGGAGAAAACTTCAACATTTGGCGAAAGTGAAGAATTAAAAAAACCTTGAGAGAAACCAGGCTCAGTTGGGCCATGACCATTTCTCCTATGGCCAAACATCTTGTGCAGAACTGCAGCCTAAGCGCCGGAGGCTGGAGAACGCTGGACGTCAACGTAGACTCGTCTGTCCCTGGAGTCTCACAGGAATCAGACGCATGTTCTCTATTCCCCCATGACCATTACAGGAGCTGCACAGGGTACTGCCTGGTTCGGGACTGTGGAAACCTTGGGATCATCTCTTCACTGGTCTTGGATCGCATCAGTGGCACTGCATCTCTGGGGTAGTATCCCCAGGTGGAAATATAGAATTAAGAGAATAATTAGTGTAGCTGCTGTTTATATTGTATATAAATGAGATGAATGGAGAGCAATTATCTTACCACTATGTGATGCATTGAGTGTATGCTTTACTAAAAAGAAAGGTTTTTAATCTAGTTTTGAACTGAGAGAGTGTGTCTGAGCCCTGGACATTATCAGGAAGGCTATTCCAGAGTTTAGGAGTCATAAATAAGATGGCTCGACCTCCTTTACTCGACTTTGCTATTCTAGGTACTATTAAAAGCCCTGAGTTTTGAGATCTTAAAGAGCAAGTTGGATTGTAGCGAGACAGAAAGTTGGTTAGATAAACAGGAGCTAGATTATTTAAAGCTTTATAGGTAAGAAGCAATATTTTAAAATCAATACGAAACTTAACAGGCGGGCAGTGTAAGGAGGATAAAATTGGGGTGATATGATCATATTTTCTAGACCTGGTAAGAACTTTAGCATCTGCATTTTGTACTAGTAGAACAAATGGATTCTCTGGTGCGAAGGAACTTGTGATACTTTGCTACTGAGAACCTTAAAAGCATTCAAACATACCATTTTTCTATGACGTCATAGTATTAGACGGACGTGCACCTGAAAGGCTACACAAGGTTGTAAATTCAGACATTCTTTGTTTGTCACAAACTGTTTTCCACCTACTAATTAGCAGAGAAGTAGCTCAAGGCTTTTCTTCGCAGTCTGTCAGTTGCTTTTACCAGGGTTTGAACTATAATTATGCACACTGAAAGAAAATTATGCATTCACTCAAATAAATTACTTCAACTTGTTAAGTAAGACCTAAAAAAAATGTAGGTACATATATATATATATATATATATATATATATATATATATATATATATATATACACAAACACACACACACACACACATATATATATATATATAGTTGAAGTTTGAAGTATTTAAATTTGCACCATTGACTTCCATAGTAGGAAAAACAAATACTATAGAAGCTAATGGTTTTAGGTTTTTAACATTCTTGAAAATATCTTTTATTGTGTTTAACAGAAGAGAGAAACTCACAAAGTGAGTGAACTATCCATTTAACGTCTATTAGATTATGAAAAATTCTGTCGGAGTATGAATGGAATGCACTAAATTATGTTAAACGTTTTGAAACTGCAGGGAAAGTGTTAAAAATGGCCTCATGCATTGACATACATCCATATTCTGAGCATAACCTTTGTATACATAATCAAGTGCTGCTTGTTTAAAATACTTATTTAAAGTGAGCAGCTGAATCAACACAATTCTTGAGTTTATAGGACAACTTAATTGTTTTGTTCAATCCACTTAGATTTGTAAAAACAATTAAGTTAACTTTACCGATTTGTTTGTGCACTGTAACACTCAATTCATTCATGTTATCCCAACACAAATCAATTAACTTAAATTTTGATGAATTGAACACAAAACAAATAGGCTGTCCGAAAAAAAATCTCAAGAATTGTGGTTATTCAGCTTATTTTAAGTAAGTATTACTTAAGTATTTGCATCTGAAAGGGTGTGAAAAATTGCCTACAGCAACTCATAGCTGTGATCCAACCAATCCAGTTGGGTTATCTCCAGGGGGTCATCATGCCGTTTGTTGTAGCTAGTATGAAGTCTCACAGTAATTTGGGTTAAGATTCTAGAAAGATGATGAGATAACATCACTGCTAGATAGCTTTACTACACTTCTCCCAGAACTTTGGTCAGCATACTTATTTTATGTATTAGAGTAATCCCAAGAAGGAATAAGCCAACTACAGCAACATCTAAAACTATATTGACACATTTACATTAAACATCTGAGTGTCCCACTGTTTTAGGTGTCTGTAATGCTAGAGCAGGTGTAGTATATTTTTATCGCACATGCACAAAACTTTCCACTTGTACATATATCTTTAGTTTTCTTACATATTCGCCTGTGGGAATCTCTTGACTTATTGTTTGCTCGTGACCCACTGGTGTCATTTTTTAAACGTGCAGAGTAGCTCTCTAGTGTCATTTGTTTCTATTGTTTTCAATTAAGTCCATATGGTAAAAAAAAAAATAATAATAATTTTAAAAAATAGGCAGGTTAGGGTAATTAGGCAAGTTATTGTCTAATGATGGTTTGTTCTGTAGTGTATCAGAAAACAAATTGCCTAAAGGGGGTTAATGGTTAATTAGTTTTTTTTTATTTTTTCACATATATACTGTATATTTCAACCTTTTTCAAATTATATATATATATATATGAGCAATATCACACGAGTAGCAGTGTGCTATGTCTGTATATCAGCACCGCAGGCCAGTCAACGACAATGAGTAGGCAAAAGGAAAATAAAAATACACCCAAACATCCTTCGCAAAATAAAATGTTACATTACTGAAATAAAAGAATGATACTGCGGTAGCGGGACCATCACACACTTCTTATCAGAGCTCGCTGAACTGAACTGAGCTCCCATACATGTGTGCTTACATCTAAAAGGTAAAACAACCACAGAAATAATTCTCTTAAAGGGGACATTTATACACAATGCATATCAAACATTAAGTGACCGCTACAATATCACAATAATTAATCTAGAAAAAAAACAGAGCAATCACTAACTTTCCAGACTGCTGTTGTGTTTGCGATAAGGAGGGACGATGTTGAATCCAGCTTCTTTGTAACTTCTTATTGACTCTATCCGGTCCACCTCAAAAACCATGAGGCTTCCGTTTTTCAGCTTTTTATTCGCGCCCAAGAGAACACACTGAGCAAGGGCTTAATATGCGGTTCTGGTGCTATCTTGTGGAGAGACAACGCCGACGAGCTCTCAGAAATTGTAAATATTTTAAAATAGGCACTATTTTTACAAATAAACTGCATAGTTGCAATCTAAACAACTACATTCTCGACTAAAAAGCCTCAAAAGTACATTTTGTTGTCTAACAACAGTAATATTTATATTTATATTATATTTAATACTGTATGTGGGCAGAGTAATACACAGAGGTGAAGAGGTATAAGTAGGTATAAGTATAAGTATAAGTATAAAAAAATAATATATAAAATATAAAAATAATATATAAAGTATAATTTATATATACATATATATAAACATTATAATTCACTGGAACATAATTAAAATTAAACTGTAAGCACTTGTGTCTCATTCTCCTTGTGTCGTGTCTAAATACAGGCCAAATACAGAAAGAGAAGAAGCTCATAATGCTTTCTCTGCTATTACATTACAGCGCCTCTGGCCACGCCCCTATGCTGTGCGTATTGAATATGCGTAACCTGAAGCGTTTGTGATGTCACTAACCCGGATGTATTTTTTTATAGTCCCCAAACTTTGTTTTTCTGTAGGCTTCGCTAAGCTAACTCTGTAAAAACCAATGTCTCCCTTTGCATTGAACTTCGAGCGTCTTACATTCAGAGATGTTGTTTATGTTCACACAGCTACATTACGCATCAACTAGAGTTTCAAATATGATTTCGTAATGGACCTCTCCTTTAACAACAATACAGCATATCACATATTTTCCCAAAATCGTGCAGCATTTGTAAATATGTATACTTAGGATTTTAGGCTGACTATAGTTTGCTTTTGTGTCATTCACTCTGTTCTCCTCCTTCCAGATCCCACACTGACTGTGCGAGCTGATATCGTTGGAAAATACGCCAACCGAATGTACACATACGAGCCGGACGACATAGACTTCTGTGAGTGTGTTTTTGCTGTCTAATGAGGTCCACTGAGAGGCAGCAGCTCTACAGTTTCAGACCCTATGAAGCTCCCAAAAGCAGAACTAGGCTGTTTTTTGGTGTCTGTGTTTTACTTTTTTTTAATGATTCCAAATGTGTAATGTTAATCATTAATATTTGATTTACTATAGTCATTCGTTAGTCAAGCATGCATTAATTATGTGTGTTTTATTTTTTTATTGCAGTGGCAGAGAACATGATAAAAGCCAAGATCCTGCTCAAGGAGGAACACGAGGAACATGATGATCTGTAATCAATCATTGCACATTTCATGGCAATTCGTAACTTGGTAACACTTTACAACAAGGTTGCGTTAGCAATGTCCCTTTAAAGCAAGTCATTTCTCTCAGCGGCCATCTTTGAAATGTCTCTTGGGCATTCTGCCTGAATGGGGAAACATCAAATTCTCCAAAATTGCTTGCCAAACGTGCGATTGAATTTCATATTAGGAATCATTAAAAAAAATAAACAACAACTGTCTCTTTAGTTTCATTTCTAAACTTTCGAATAAAACAAATTATGCAGAATCTCACGCCTGCTCCGAGCCCCTCCCCTGGATTATCATCAGTCTATAGTGATCGATGATTGGCTCCTGTACTAGAAGGCGGGCTTTATTTGACATATAGTGATCAATGATTGGCTCCTGTACTAGTAGACGTGGTTTTATTCATCATATTGCCTGTTACATTTTTTCCCTATTTAAAAAGATACTAGTGACATGTCTTGTGTATTCGATAGTCTTTGGCATTAGTTTGCTTAGCATGAGCAAACAATGAACACTACATTTCCCAGGAAGCAAAGAATTCTGGCCCAGATTTGGCCTAAAGCTGGCACAGCATGCATTCATTCAGCATCGGCATACAGCATGTAAGCCAAACATGGCCCAGGTTTGGCAGAGGGGGCACACAATTCTTGGGCCAGATGTAAAATGTAGTATTTGGCCCAGTTGTTAAAAATTGACGTGGACCATGTAAGTTTAACCCATCTAAACCCACATTTAAAATACATGTTATTATTTTTAAATAAAGAAAAAATTCTACCAATCAGGTTGCTTCTAGAAAACGTACATCCAAAGCACAGCTAAAGCACAATGCTTCTTTGGTTTACCAATTTCATTGCAGCCATGACACTCCAACATATCTGGCCCAGTTTAGGCGCAGTTATAGTTTATTAACTTGGCTGAAACTTGGCTCAGATATGGTCCATGTTTGGCCCTTGTCTGGAAGCCAGACTTGGTCCAGTCATGTACCGTAACTCACAGCGGCATGTGGGCCATGCACAAGCGGATTGGCTCAGAGCTGGGCCAGGGAAATTTTGTTGTGCGGGTTGTTACAGAACCCACAGAGCAAATGCTTTCTGGCCCAGCTCCAGGCCACACAATAACTTTTCCCTCAGCCCAAGGACTGCAAGGAATGACGGTCCTGAAGTGGCCCATAACTGGATTAAAGACACATATTGGCCATAACCGGCCTGAATCTCAGCCAATATATATATCCCTAACTGGCCCTGAACTGAGCCAAAACATGTTTCTTATTGGTACGAGAAACCCAAAAAACTGAGCCATAACAAAGCCTAATGTTACCTAAACAATGTGAACAATTGCTACGCTGATCTGGCCACACACCTCCCGTCCACAACTGGCCCAAATGTAGTTTGCAGTCATGCATGCAGTGCCTTCATTTCATGCATGGCCCACATTCGGCTGACATTATGTATGCCAGTGCCAGCAACACGCTAGCAGTGCCATAATTAGGCCACATTTGGGCCAAGTCCGTTTGCTATGTGTGTATTTGTTCATGTTAGTTAATAAAAACACATTCGTCATTGTAAGTTCATTAACTCATAGTGCATTAACAAGCATGGATTTCGACGTTGTTAGCGCATTAGTAAAAGTTAAACTATGATTAACACATGACATACAATTATTGTTCACAATAAGTTTGTGTTTGTTAATACAATCACCAATTAAACCTTATTGTAAAGTGTGACCAAACAGGGTAACTTTTTACAATAACAATACATGGACACTAATATAGTAATATGTAAACTAAACATTACTATGTTGCCTTAAGGCATGCACTAATTAAAAACTAACTTTAACTATAACACGACTTCATGAGTAGTTAAGAAATGATAACATGCCCCTCCAGGTAAAGTCATGACACTAAGACACATTAACAGTTCATGTTAGTTACAATTAGCTAATACTGAAGTGTTAATACATTAATTAACAAACAATTAAGGGAGCCATTATTCACACAAGAACAACATGGTGGCTTAGTGATTAGCCTGAGAGCAAGAAGGTCGCTGGTTCGAGATCAGTTGGCATTTGTGTGTGGAGTTTGGATGTTCTCTCCAACGCAATCTCACGGCAATTCGTAACTTTTTGATTTAATGGCTAATTCGTATGATTTAATTAGTACAATTTAGTACGATTTGCCCATCACCCAATGACGGTTGGGTTTAGGGGCGTGGCCTCCTTTTTTTTTTTTTTTTTTTAAGATTTGTTTATTAGATTTTTTTGACAGTTAACAAACAAAGTAAAAAGACAATAACAGTACAAACAGAAAAAAAATATATATATAACAGTACAACATTGATAAAATACATAAATAAACCACACTATAACCCTCATATTGTGCGACACACAGTATATGACATGCATAAACACTATATGATGTGCATAAATCAATTTTCAAATTGAGCATATAAACAGGTCTGTACGAGACGTTGAGGTTGACAGCATGGTGTATTAAGTAAAATAAACAGTAATAATAAAATAAAATAAACAAACAGAAAAAAATAGAAAAGAAATAAAAAAAAAAATTAAAAAAAAAGCGAGAAAAAAAGGGAAAATGTATTAAACTAAATAGGCTGGGGGGTGGCACATTCTTAACTTGTGGTTTTATGTCAAGAAAAAGTTGTATGTTCGTGCTATATCAGCAACACTAATACTCAACTGGAAGCACAGATCAAAACAAAAATGCAAGAATGGCAACCATTCACTCCACAGTAATTGCCTCAAGTCTCAGAGATTTAACATGTTCCAAAAAAGGCAACCAAATATTAGAAAATTTGACCACTGAACCTCGAAGACTATGTTTAATTTTTTCTAATTTAACAAAAAATAAGGCATCTTTAATCCACTGAGTATGGGATGGGGGTTGAGGAGACTTCCACTGCAACAAGATGCACCGCCTAGCTAATAATGACAGAAAAGCTATTAATTCAGAAAAATAAAATGGTAACTCACAGTCAGGGGGAAGAACTCCAAACAGGCCAATTAACGGAGAAGGATCAATATTAATAGATGTAATTGCTGAAAATGAATCGAAAACAGACTCCCAAAAAGAAAACAAAGCTGGACAGGTCCAAAACATGTGAACTAGATTTGCAGGTTCAGCATGACATTTGTCACAGGTTGGATCAATAGCAGGGAACATGCGAGCCAGTTTACACTTAGACCAGTGAACTCTGTGAACTACTTTGCACTGTAAAATCCCATGGCGAGCACATACAGATGATGTATGGACCTTTTGTAAAATTGTTGACCAAATATCTTCTTTTATGTCTATGTTAAGATCCCTAGCCCAAATAAAACGCTAATTATCAGATGTAGAAGTATGAGACGTGAGCAAGGAGTTGTATATTTTAGAGATGGCTCCATTTTGACCGGGATTAATATTAGAGATGGTATCGATCAGGGTAGATGGTGGTATAGTAGGGAAACCGGGAAAGTATTTACGGACAAAATCCCGAGTTAGTTAGCTCAAATGACGCAAAAATATTATCAATGTAGAGGTCTTTGATAGAAACAATTCCACATCTCACCCATGTTACAAAAGCCTTATCATTAAGCGAGGGAGGAAAAAGAGGGTTAGAGTGAACAGGACATAGAAGAGGTGTGATCTGTAAATTGAAGTGACGTCTGAGCTGAACCCAGATCTTAAGACAATTTTTAACTATAATATTTTTAGAATACTGTGATGGTGAAAATGGCATGGGTAGGCATAAAAGGGAAGTGAGTGAGGGAGTGCCACATGAAGCCTCCTCAATCCTTAACCAAGCAGGAGGTTCAGCACTAGAAAGTTGCCAGAATAGCATGTTGCGGATATTTGCAGACCAGTAATAAAACAGGAAATTTGGTAATGCTAATCCACCCAACTCCTTATTTTTTTGTAATATGCCTTTTCGAATTCTAGGAGTTTTTCCATTCCAGATAAAATGAGAGATGGCACTATCAAGGGAATTAAAGAAATGTTTTGGAATAAAAATTGGTATGCATTGAAAAAGATAAAGAAACTTGGGCAGTATGTTCATTTTAATACAATTTATCTTACCAGCAAGTGATAGGGGCAGCAGAGACCAACGATGAAAATCTTCAGACACTCTATCCATCAAAAAAGAGAAATTACTTTTAAACAGATCTGAGTAATTCTTGGTTGTACATATGCCCAAATATGTAAAATTATCAAGTGATATTTTGAATGGGAGTTTAGAAAGTTGGTATGCTTTAGCTGCAGAATTTATAGGCAGAAGTTCACTTTTATGAAAATTTAGTTTATATCCTGAAACTAGCCCAAATTCCTTCAGCAGGTCCAACACACAAGGTATAGATCGGTCCGGGTCAGAAACGAAAAGTAAAAGATCATCCGCATAAAGGGACAGTTTGTGCGCTAAGTCTCCTCTAATAATTCCCTTCATATGGCTGGACCTGAGAGCTATCGCCAGTGGCTCAATAGCAATGGCAAACAGTAGGGGTGAGAGTGGACAACCCTGACGAGTGCCACGCTCCAAAGGGAAATAATCAGAATAATCATTATTAGTACGGACACGGGCCAGGGGGAGGGCATAAAGAAGTTTAATCCATGACATAAACTTACTTCCAAATCCAAATTTTTTTAATGAGTAAAATAAATAAGGCCACTCCACCCGATCAAAAGCCTTTTCCGCATCCATTGAAATAACCAATTCTGGGGATTTTGAAGTAGAGGGAGAGTATAAAATATCAAATAAACGTCTAATATTGTGGAAAGAATGTCTACCCTTTACAAACCCTGTTTGATCGTCGGAGACAATTGAGGGCAAAATATCTTCTAAACGCTTTGACAGCATCTTAGCTAGGATTTTAACATCCACACATAACAGGGAAATGGGGCGATAATTACTGCAGGAAAGAGGATCCTTTCCTTTCTTTAAAATAAGAGAAATTGTGGCCTGTCTAAGAGTGAGAGGTAGTGTGCCATATTCTAAGGAGTCATTAAACATATTTAAGAGTAGTGGAGAAAGCTTATCAGCAAAGGCCTTGAAAAACTCAGTAGGAAATCCATCGGGCCCAGGGCATTTCCCATTCTGCATAGCTGACAATGCCTTTTTAACTTCTTCTACTGAAAAGGGCACATCCAACCTGGAAGAGGTTTCAGAGTCGATTGAGGGAATGTTAAGGGACTGAAAGAAGTTATCTAATTGAGCTTC